GAGTAAAACCAGGCTTAGGCTGGGACCCCCTGCAGCCTCCATGACCTGTGGGGCAGCTGCCACTGCCAACAGTGCTATACACAGAACCAAACTAGCCAGTCAAAACATGACTTTTGGAAATCTCCCTTCAGCAAGTTTCAGGAGAGGCAAAAGTAAGTTCAATTCAAAATGTGAAGCTGCCTCATGCAAACAGTGCTCCAAAGATATAGCTGCAGAGCCCTGCTTTTCCCCTATCACTACAGTTTGTTAATGGAGGATTAGCCTAATGGGATAAGGAACTTCACTTAATTCAAGAAATACTTTCCTCACCACATGGAAGCATCAGCTTTCTCCAGCCAACAGAGCATTATGGTCTAGCCCCTGCATCCTTCCATCCCCCCACTGAAGGCAGCTGGGATTTCACAGCACCCAAATCACACTGAATTTCCATGGCACCTGGGCACCTTATTCCATGAGACCTTTTAATAATCCCCTCTCTCCCCTCCACTGAATTCAGTAAAAACTTCACCACCAAGCTGAAGACCCTGATTCTGGTCAGAGAAATCTCAATAAAAAGAAAATGGTAATGTCACCAACCGGTGGGGATAAGATTGTCATCCACAGGCAGGTAAGAGTCTGCTTCAATGGAAACCTCGTGGTCATAGATATCACGTGAGCCCTATGAAACAGTGAGAGAAAAGTTTAATTCTGCAACGTTTGAAATGGAAACTTCACAACATGAAGAAGAAAGAAGCCAAATTCAACAGCCTGAAGTAAATATTAACATCAGGTTTATGGCCCCCTATAGCCTGTCTGCCATCTGATAACTCCAGGTAACCAACCTGCCTTTGTGTCTGCAACTCATAGTTTCATAGTCGGTAGGGTTGGAAGGTGTCATAACCCAGTGATTTTGGTGCCTCGGCACGATGGAATTTTCTTGCCACATGAGAGCCTCTTGCACAGCGACGGTTTTTGCTGCACAGAAGAACCTCGGTGCAAGAGAGTTCCAGCCAATTTGTAGCCTTCTTTGCAGGGTGCATTTCTTCCTTGCAGCACAGAAATGCACGGTGCAAAGAGTTCCCGCTATTCGAATGCAAATTTGTGTCCCGCTATTGGCCAGTGCTAAATTATTCACACATGGCGGCTAGTAATTGGCTCACTAGCCGTTTAAAATTCTGTGCGACTTCCGCCCAAGTTGAAGAACTTTGAGCATGCTGCAGAGTGCCTCTAAAGAGATCTGACTTGCAGCTAGCTGATCGATAGACTGATCACCTATCGATCTTTCTTCCCATCGCCGAGCGCAATCCCAGACGTACCCTTTTCCCGCCGGCTTGATTTACGGATGGATTCACTGGCTTGGGCCCCGCCAGCTGGAACAACTCACGTGGTTGTTCAGACGACCGGACCAGCTGCGTCGCAACTCCACGCGGCGTAAGTAAACGTTTTTGCAACCATTGAAAAAGTACTGGGGTCAAACAACGCCAGCAAGGTGTTCGTCTAACCACCTCTTAAAGTCCTCTTTATTTGCATTCTCACAGAACAGCTTTCCAAAAATTGGGGTTTTTTTTTCATACCTGAGAGATTTCTGACTATCTTTAGTTTCTCTCACCATTTTCAATTTCTTTTTTTGCCTGAAAAAGGACATGTATGTTCAAAAGCTTGCAAAGAACAACTCTTTTGCAACCATTTAGTTGGTCTAATAAAAGATATCACCTCTACCCAAAGAGTTTATCTGCCTTTGAAAAATATAGCTACAGCCAAGATCCCTAATTCTGCAGCTGTCATGATGCCAGGGTCATGATGCATCTTCCACTGGTAGCTACAAACCATTATTGTGGGATAGGATATTGAGAAACTTGCCAATTGTACTAATCTGGTAACTGCAACACCCTTCCTCTTTGCCCTTCGCTGCACTTCCTTGGTTTGTCTCCCCATAGCATATACAGTGTAGTTGCCATGACAAAAGGTGCTGGGCAAAAAACTTAGGGTGGTTCCTAGCACTCTAAACTTTTTGGGGTGGGACCATCTTTTTACACTGTGTTTTGGACCTCACAAGATCACAATGCTAATAAATGGAAATTAGGCACTCCAGGAAATGCTCTGAGTACTGAAAGTAACTCAGACTGATTACTTAAGATCTGGGGCAAGTTTTTAAGTACCACTTATATACTCCAGGAAGCAGATAAGAAATGAAAGGCATTAAAAGCCATTTTGGCACTAAAAGATGTTATTGGCTGATACCAATAGCCAATTATTAACTAGCCATATCAGCCAATACCGATCTGATAACCAATTTACAGAACATGGCTCCCCTGAATGGCTCCCCTGGACTTCCTGTAATTCCACAGATTTGCAGGAGTGCAGCTGGGCAGCGTGGAGAGCAGCTCCCTACAGGTAAGTCTGTGGAGGGGAAGGGGTGTAGGGGAGAGAAAGGGAGGTGTGGTGGGGGGCAGGGAGGGCACACATCAAGGCCTCAACAGTGAGGGAGAGAGTGGGGCAGGGGTTGGGGGCACTGCCCAGCCAGGATGGTGAATGGGACCCGGGGCGGGGAGCAGGACAGAGCTATGGGCAACTCATCCAGGGGATCAGTGTCTCGGCGCTTAAAAATGGTGCGGGGGGAACTTGAACTAAAGCTCATTGAATGGGAAGTCAGGGTAGCCATGCGCCTGCCACACTATGGGCTGGCTAAGTAATTAGCATGATGATGGGATAATGGGCTTGTCATTCACCAGTGCCAATAAGCCTGCCCAAAGCACTGCACAGATGTGGCTACACTGCCTGCAGCTTAGGAGGCAGCTTGCCTGGAGCATTGTAGCATCCTTGAGGGCACTGCTGCTAGGCAGGGTGGGTTTACCCTGTAGACATGACATAAGAGTAAGAATTGGGCCTGAACCCCTCGTGTAGCAGGGCATGGGAGGTTTATTTGCCATCTGTGAGTACAGAGAGGTGGTTAGCCATGTTAGTCTGAAGTTTGGCAGAAGGCAGGACAGTATGGCACCTTAGAGATGAACTCAACAAGGTTTAACTAATGAGTTAGTCTCTAAGGTCACACCCTGCCCTACTTTCTACCTAACTTCAAACTAATATCACAGCTACCTACCTCGCTACAAATGTAACGAGAGCAAAGAATTGAGACCTTGCAGCTTAGTGGATAGAGGCCTCAGATGGGACACAGGAGACCTGGGCCCTGCCCCTGATTTGTTGTGTGATCTTGAACAAGCTGCTTCCCTCCCTGTGCCTGCTTTCCTCCCAACCTCTCTCATCCATTTAGATAGTGAGCAAGGACATACAGCGCCTATTGCAATGGGGCCTTGATCTCAACTGAGACTGTTAAACAGAGCCTGACAAGAATACCTCTTTCATAGGTCCAGGAAACCCTCTTTGAACATGGCTCCCCTGAATGTCCAACAATCCATCCAATTCAGGGGAATACCTACTCACATCAGGAGTAGCCCTGTGGTTTCCTCCATCATCCTGCACCACATTTCACACATTCTTGGTTTCCCTCGCTTTAACATTTTTACTATCCTAATGCTGTAAGCAAACAATGTAGACTGCCACTGCCAGGTAGAGAATAACAATGGATTTAGTTCAGTTAGACCAATTTAGGGAGTTGTTTTGAAGCATGTTGAGACAAAGTGCTTACCTGGCCTGCTAGATTGAAGTAAGCGTGGTTTGTCAAGTTAACCGGAGTAGTCTTGCTGGCTTGAGCTCTGTAGTTGATTGCTAATTCCCCATCATCTAGTGTATATGTCACCCAAACCTTCAGTTTACCAGGGTATCCCTCCTCACCATCTGGACTTATTCGGAAGAAGCGAACACCATTTGGCAGCACCTCGGGGGTCCAGAGAACCTGAAACAACAATTTTTGGAACATTTTTTTCATTTTCTCTCCATCCTTGCTGAAATACATGTGGCACATTTGGTACAGCTCCAGTTCAAGAGGCAAACACCTCTCAGTTTTTTTGCCTGCTGCTGCAGTGACAGATAAATGTAACAGCCTTCTCTAATGCTACATGCTGGATCTAATGCAGGAAGGAAAGCCTGCTGGTCTGTGCTACCTCTTTTTTTTTTGAGAACTTCTAATTCTTAGGTACATGATTCATGAACCACAAACATCTGGATATAGTGTTGCACTGAGGTGCTACATAAATCACACCTATTTTTTTCTTTTCATAGATTCATAGATGTTAGGGTCGGAAGAGACCTCAATAGATCATCGAGTCCGACCCCCTGCATAGGCAGGAAAGAGTCACTCGAACTGTGAAGAAGTTCCTCCTAATGTCCAATCTAAATCTGCTCTCTGCTAGCTTGTGGCCATCATTTCTTGTAACCCCTGGGGGCGCCTTGGTGAATAAATACTCACCAATTCCCTTCTGTGCCCCCGTGATGAACTTATAGGCAGCCACAAGGTCGCCTCTCAACCTTCTCTTGCGGAGGCTGAAAAGGTCCAGTTTCTCTAGTCTCTCCTCGTAGGGCTTAGTCTGCAGGCCCTTAACCATACGAGTGGCCCTTCTCTGGACCCTCTCCAGGTTATCCGCATCCCTCTTGAATTGCAGTGCCCAGAATTGCACGCAGTACTCCAACTGCGGTCTGACCAGCGCCCGATAGAGGGGAAGTATCACTTCCTTGGACCTATTCATCATGCATCTGTTGATGCATGATAAAGTGCCACTGGCTTTTCTGATGGCTTCGTCACACTGCCGACTCATGTTCATCTTAGAGTCCACTAGGACTCCAAGATCCCTTTCCACTTCCGTGCCACCCAGCAGGTCATTCTCTAGGCTGTAGGTGTGCTGGACATTTTTCCTCCCTAGGAGCAGCACTTTGCATTTCTCCTTGTTGAACTGCATTCTGTTGCTTTCTGCCCACTTGTCTAACCTGTCCAGGTCTGCTTGCAGCTGTTCCCTGCCCTCCGGTGTGTCCACTTCTCCCCATAGCTTTTGTCTTTGTTTTTTTGAAAAAGCCCAGCCAGTGCTTTATCTGCCTTATTACTTTTTTCTTAACTCTCTCTCTTAAAGGCCCAAATCTGTTCTTCTGGCTTTTGTATTTCAATTTCAGCTATCTGCCCCTAGTTTTGATTAGTTCTAATAAAATGGCCTTTTCTGGGACAACATATGAAATTCCTCTGTCTTTCTGAGCATCACATAAAAGTCTTTCAGTCATTTTAATATTCCCTTATTAATATAACTAGTCACTTCAACAAATTTACCTCTAAGAGCTGCTTTGGCAGCATCCCATGACAACAAAGGTGATGTCTCAGGTTGATTGCTCTCTTTCATATAACTTTTTAATTTTTTTAAAATTTTAATGCAAAAGCCTATAATGATAAAGCAAATTATATTGTTTCACACCATATGATGAAATGAGCTTGAGTTCATGAAAGCTTGTGCTCTCTCTATATACCTTATTTAGTTGATCTATAAAGGTGTGTATCTACTCTGCCTTTTGACTGACTTTAGACTAACAAGGCTAACTACCTATCTCAGAACAAATTATATTCATACTCCAAGTTTTCCTGTTATTGCTGATCTGTCCAAAAGTAAGTGCATATTGGTGTGTGATTGGTTACTTTAAGTAGTTGAAAGCAACATTTCCCTGAAATGAACATTATTAAGGGTTCTTCCTTGCCCCCACCCATGCTCCACCCTCCCCTCCAAAATCAACGTTCTGTTCCATTTCTGCCAACACCTTGCAGAACTGAGGCCTCCATGATGAAAGACAAGAGGCCAGAACCGGACTGACTGGGGCCCGTCTGTGCTAGAAAACATTACTGAACATATGGTGGCTATCTTTGGAAACAGAACAAATAGAGATAATGAAAGACTGACTAAATCCATTAGGCCCTCAAAAGAGAGACTGAGTAAGATTTGCTCATATCTTTATGGGACATCAACAATGATAAAATAAAGCATGCTAAAAAATAAGGACAGCTACACTGGTTCTTAAAAATAGGTTCACAGTACAAAGCTGCAAATTTTGGAGCATATCAGTCTGAGCTCAAAGCTCAGCCTTCGCTGGTGACTTCAGTGGTTCTACAACTGATGTACCTAACCTCAACAATAATACAGCAAACAAAACCAGTAATAAGTCTACAAACGTAAAAGGCTCCATCAGTTTCACAGAAAATATATGAAAGCTATTTATACCATTGGCATCTGCAATGCAGTCCCCTATTTTCTGCAGTTAAAAAAAACCCCCAAAATGGTTACAGCTAATAGAAGCATGCCTATAGACATGAGCTATATTGCTTAACGCTGACCGCAACATTGCAGTTGGCTAGATAAAAATAAATCTTGGTCAAGATCGTGTCAACAAGTCAGCAAACAGCTGACACACTCTGTTCTTGTATAAACTGACCCCACAACTTTGGTCGGCATTGAATTATTTAGCCTGACTGCTCCCAAGTGTCTGTTCTCATGATACGACACTCTAATAAGCTTTTAATGAAGTATATTGTTATTTATAAAAGCTCATGCCTCTCTGAACCATTTAGTATCCAAGATGCTGTCCTGCCCTACCTTCTTTCTGACTTCAGACTAACACAGCTAATCACCTCTTCCCTCAACACTGTAATGAAGGCAAGCACTAGGGAAGAGATGCAGATGGCTTATACTTGTGTATCTGACTTTGTTGGTATCTATTTGACTTCAATGCCTAACAAATGCTTTAGAGAAAGGGTGTCTTCGTTAAAATTCGAGAACCTCTGATTTAGTTTATGGCATAAGAAGTCACAAATATTTGAGAAAATCCTCCAGCAAAACTAGGAAAGCTCAGACTTTATAGTCCAGATATTCTGAAGAAAAACAAGCTCTTCTCTGAAACACCTTTCAAGCTACCTTTGAGAATCACAGAGGCACAAAACAATCCCTTGCAGGCTGCCGTCTGATTGTCAAAATACCAGTTGTTTTGACAATCAGACCATGCTGATTTAGTTTCCAGAGCCAGCACTACAAGCAAAACTGTGCAGAGAGGCTGCAAACAGCTGCACAGAGGTCTAAGGAGTCCTGGCCCAGCTTGTTGCTGGTCATGGGTGAGCACATACGTCTGGGCGTATAGTGTGGGGGGCACAACTCTGCTGCTACAACAAGGATCGGGCCCCTCACGACTCCTCCGCTGTCAGCCCTGGCAGGCCAACATCTTATAAATTAGGTTTGAGTGTTTTTGGCACTCTGACCAAAAACGTTGCTGACCCCTGTCCTACAGCATATTCTGTGAAACCTCACAGAAAGTCATGAATCAGACACTTGTTTTCACAAATGCATTCAATCAGATACACCTCATGGTGTTAAAACCACCCCCGCCCCCAAAAACAGAACCTATTGTAAAACCAACATGATTTTCAGCCTGGTTCCTAACAGAGGAAATCAGAAACTAGAGAACAATAGCTGCTGTTATAATCTGTAGAGAGAGGTAGGTAGCCTTGTTAGTCTGAAGTCAGGCAGACAACAGGGTAGAGATGTACCTTATAGACTGCCTAAATCAGAGATGCATAAGCTTTCACGTCCTTTCTTTCTTGAGGTTTTGAAAGGATGTGCATATCATTTCACGGCATCCAATAAGGTGAGTTCTTGCTCACAAAAGCTTATGCATCTCTGATTCAGTTAGTCTATAAAGTGTATCTTCACTCTGCTTTGTACCTGTTATAATTTATATGATATCAATGGCACACTCGTGTTTGCCAGCAGCATGCAAGGCAGTTTAATGAAGAAAGAAGGCATGCGACCATGAGAAAGAGAGGCTGCTAGTCCTCAAAGACAGAACCAGGGCCTGCAATGGCTCTTGGGAGTATAAATTAAGAGTAGTTGGATTTTGGAAGACAATCCATCAGGATTTAGCAGTGGCATCAATCCAGCGGAAGAAGGAAAGGGAGGAATCAGAGATTACACCAAGGCTGAGAACCTGTCAGGCAGGAAAAAGAGTGGAATTGTTGACCTATGTACAGACACAAGCCACCAGGCAGCCAAATGCAAATCAGGGTCCTGTTGTGCAGGACAGTTCACAAACATAGAGATGCCTCCAGCCCTGGAGAGCTTCCATCCATGAAGACAAACCAAAGGTTGGGGAAGACACAGAACAACAAGGAAGTGACTTTCCAAGGTCCAGTCCTAGCTACAAAATTACCAACCAGTGCCAGGTAGGCCATATAACCCTACTTGGGGGAATATTTTACTGGCAGCAAGAGCTCCCAATGCAAATGGTACTTTTTAAAAACTGCACAAAACAGAGTGATCCATTGTCAGAGAAAAGTATGTTGCTGTTATCAGACAGATAGATTGGTAGGAGTATCAGATTTCAGGGAACCCAGAGCTTGGGTCCATGAACATCAGTGATTCAGGGGTAAAACTTCTTATAATAAAAGCACATAATAAAATGAAATAAAACTCTTGCTTTAACAGGATGCCGCATGCTGAAAAAAATGGGGACATTTGGTTCACCATCACCTTTACCTTGTCAAATCCTTTTGTTCCTCCATGAAGGCTGTTGGGCTTATTGTTGATGGCTAATTGATACTCCTTTCCCTTCAGGATAAATTTCCCTTTAGCAATTCTGTTGGCAACACGCCCAATGACTGCTCCAAAGTAGGGGTGTTTGTTGACATAGCCTGGCAAAAATAATGAGTTGCTGTTAAAAAATACAATTCATACTTGACCATGAGTATTGAGGGGGCAGCGAGACGGAGAGCACATGACAGAAGCAGCTCAAAGAGTACGACTGCGAGTGGCAGATGTCAGAAAGGAACATCCTGGCAATGGTGAGCAACCTGTTTGAAGCTGAGGGCAACAACATGCAGGAGCTGTCTGAAAATCTTTATTTACTGGTTTGGTTTCTCAGAGGCATCTGGTTCTGTAGCAGAAGGGGCCTGCCCATGAGTGCCTTTCTGTACAACCCAGCTCTCCTCACAGCCTTCAATAATAGGAGTGTTTCAGTCCCAAAGCATACACCTTGCAAAACCAGGAAATGGTTAAGTCTCTTTAAAATATTTGCCTTTGCAGGAAAAAGGGTTATTAAGGCAGGAAACAGAGTCAAGAGAGACTTCCCATGCAACACAGCCATGACAAGTCCTAGCCCAGTGAGATAAACACAAGACCATCCTTCCTGTTAAATTTCCTGAGAGTAGGATGCTCTCTACAAAGACTTTAGAACAGAGGTTCTCAAACTGTGGTATGCAGACCACCCCTGGTCCGCAAGCTCCATTCAGGTGATCTGCAGAAAGGTGACCTAAGGCTAAAGCTGATAAACATTACATCCGACTTCCTAGAACTTTGCTCAAAAAAACAAGCACATCCATTGCATTAGAAAGGTAAGATTACTGATATTAAAATATGAGTTGTGTGCTTTAATTTGCAGAACAAAAAAAGTTTAAGTGTTCCGCTGAGACCCTCAGCAATTTTCAAGTGGTCTGTGAAAAAATAAGTTTGAGAACCACTGCTTTAGAACAAGGGTCATGCACAGGAAGTACTGGGCTAGGTGGCTTTCTCAGGACTCCAGATTAAGTCTGAGTTGGAGCCCAGGATGGGAGCCAGCTCTCCTGGGTCCCAGTCCATTGCTTTAGCCACTGCTTGTAGCCCCTGCCTCACACAGTCCCAGTATATGGAAACTTCACAAGCGCTTAGGGTAATTCAGTTTGGGCAGGCTGTTTTTATACACAGGAGTTTAGCCAAGGGGATCAGATATGGGGCAGCCATAGGAGACCTGGCTGGCACAATGTTGTTTGCCTCCCTTTGTGGTAGGGATATAATAGGACTTGCTTTACTATTAAGAGCTGTTAAACATCAGGGAAGTATTAGAAGCTGCCAGTGGCAAGAGAGATTTGTGCTTATGGCAGAGATGTAACAAGCAGCTTTTGCATCCTGGGCTGGTACCCCAGTAACCCATCTCTAGTTATGCTACTCATTCCTGGTCTTTGGTTCCCAACCCAGCTCCCCTTCCCCTACCTTTCAGGGTATTTTGGGAGGGAAGGTCTCTTCAACAATTTATCTCTCTCACAGAACAGAAGCATGGCTCCTAGCAGGCATGCTCCACAGAACCAAAAGCAAAATCCTAGAACTCACTGGCACTTGAGCAAATTTTTGGTGCTAAACTCAAGGAGGTAGTACAGCGATGGGGCTCACATGCAGATATTGCCTCTGTTTTTGTCCCTGTATGTGCTCAGGAAAACAATTATGAGAAGGTTAACATTTTTCTAAAATAAAGTCTTTATTCATAGAAAAGGTCTGAAACTCTCAGAAAGACCATCATTCACAGACCCTACATTTTCACCTCAACCAGGGTTTGCCCACAGACACATGCGCTTTATGGAAAAAACAAAACCCACTTTTACCAAACTAAGCACACATAAGGAAAACACTGCAGGAATTTGCATTGAGCCCTACAAGTTAAAGCACTAGTCTCTGCTGTAGACTCTAGTTAAAGTTTGAATGGTAATATAGTACAGCAGTGGTGCTCAACCTTTTGACTCCACAAGCCAGATAAGTGATGCAGGGCTGGTCCACAGCCTGGATACTTCATGAGGTCAGTGCAAGGGGCTGGGCCCTGCATACCTAGCCCAGGCCCCACACTGTCCTGGCCCAGCTCCATGTGCCTGGATCAGGCCCCGCACCAGCTCAGCCAGGCCCTGCACCACTCCAGCCCCTTGCATCTTGGTCTTGCATGCCTGATCTAGCCTGCAGGCCCATGCTAACCACCCACATTGCTGCTCCTGGCTTGGACTGTGAAGATCCTGATGAGCCCAACAGAGCCGAAGAGCCATGGCAACACAACTAATTAAATTTTTTACTAACTCTGGAAATTAGGCTTTATTCAGCTGAACTTTACTGCTGCTACAAAGGTGCCAAAGCATTATATAAGTAGAAGTTGCTTCTTGTCCAATTAGACTTCATGAACTGGGAGATAGTGAGTATCCACTGTAAAATGGATTGTGCCCTATGTCCTTGAACTATTCAGAGACAACTGCCTTTCCATAATGTTGGAAACAGGAATTTAGAGTCTCTTAAACACTTGTAAGTGTTGACCTTCAAATTTACTTTAGTACATTTTGGGCCCTAGGTTCTGGTGGTGGGTGCCAATCAGGTAAAGAGCTGGTGAATGCTAAATGACTATATGGCAGTGAGGAAATTTCCAAATTTCTAAAAGCCCTCATCTATCCAGATGCCACAGACTAATGGTTGGCCACCTCTAGTAATTCTTGCTAAAAATCTGAGTAAACAATGCAGGACAAGTTTGCCCCCTTAGACCTCTTGCCACAGGGAAGAGGAGGAACAAGAACTCTCAAGATATTAGGTTTCCTTATCCATCAGGGGGGCAAGGTTGGTCCTGTTTACAGAACAGGATCCAATCTCAAACCACTCCTGATTCTCTAGTATCTACACAGGTATCAGGACCACCCTAAGGCCAGAAACAAGTATGTGAAAGCCCTACTCCTCTGCCTGCAGAGGACAAACATCATGTCTCCATGAGAGGAAAGCTTTAGATGCTTATCTGACCCTACATCACCACCCTGCCCCACAGGCCTCTGCTACATGCAGTTGTCTTAGGAGGGCAGCAGATGTAGTAGCTTGTCATACTCCCCCTCCCACCCACCTGCACCCTCCTTCTTCAGGAAGGTTCCAAAAAGAGCCCACCTGATGGGTGCTGTTGCATAAGAATCCCACCTCCATAGGTTTGCTTCCTTCCTAAGAGATGCGAGTGCTTCTCCTCTCTGCATTCAGCTCTTCAATGAAGATGGCTTCCTCTGTCTGCTACTTTTCAGTGCAGAAGGAAAGAAAAGGCCAGATAAAAGACAGCTGACCAGACCCCTATATTGCCAAGGGGTTATAGATCACCAGTGCCTATAACTCTCCCCGAGCTCTCCAGTTCTCTGAGCTGTAATGAGGGAAGAAAAAGCCAATAAAAAGGAATGAGGCAGCAATTACCACCTGAGAACCAGAAAGAGACTGGGGAGTATGCAATCATATCCTTTACATTGTCACAACCCCAGTACAAAGACCTCATTTTACAATTCCCTGTCAAAGAGCTAACTTCCTTGCTTTGGGTATTTCCAAGATGGAAGAGAAAGCTGACCACAGCTTCAAGTGCATAACTAACCAACAGCAGCTTCCTCCTTCAGTCTCTTCTAACCCTAGTGACCCCCCCACAGGCTTTCACCATTTTTCATGTAACAAGCTACCTACAGTGCTGCACTAATGCAGTTATGCTGGTTCTGGTTTAAGGGGCAGTGAACATAGCTGGTCCAGGCATGCCATTACCATGCAGCCCTACAAGGCATCCTTCTGCGTGAGGCATCTTTTGGGAACCTCCACTGGCTGCAAAAGTTTCAGAGTCTAACTTTGATTAAAATAACAGTATCCCAGCCACACAAAGGAGGCCTGCCTTGCTTTTGGGCACTCACATCAGTGTTTAGTCTGTACAAGTCCCATTTAATTGCCCATCCAAGAATGAAGCAGGTTATCCTATTGGAGCAGCCATATTTTAACATAGTCACCTATTCTTCTCAGCAAGCTAAGGTCCATTTTTCCTACCAAGCTTCAGATGTCACGAGTCTGCCCAGGGCTGGGGTGCTCCCATATCACTGACCCAACAGTCATAGTATCATAGAAAATTAGGGTTGGAAGGGACCTCAGGAGGTCATCTAATCCAACCCCCTGCTCAACACAGGACCAACCTGAACTATACCATCCCAGTCAAGGCTTTGCCTATCCAGGTCGTAAAAATCTCTAAGGACGGAGATTCCACAACCTCTCTAGGTAACCTGTTTCAGTGCCTTACTACCCTCCTAGTGAGAAAGTTTTTCTTATTATCTAACCTAAACTTCCTTTTCTGCAACTTGAGACGATTGCTCCTTGTTCTGTCATCTGCCACCACTGAGAACAGTCTAGCACCATCCTCTTTGGAACCAGCCTTCAGGTAGTTGAAGGCTGCTATTAAATCCCCCTCAGTCTTCTCTTCTCCAGACTAAAGAAGCCCAGTTCCCTCAGCCTCTCCTTATAAGTCATGTCCCTCAGCCGCTTAACCATTTTCATTGCCCTCCGCTAGACTCTCTCCATTTTTTCCACGTCCTTTCTGTAGTGGGGGGGCCCAAAACTGGACACAGTACTCCAGATGTGGCCTCACCAGTGCTGAATAGAGGGGAACAATCACTTCCCTCGATCTGCTGGCAATGCTCTTACCAATGCAGCCCAATATGCCATTAGCCTTCTTTGCAATAAGGGCACACTGTTGACTCATATTCAATTTATTGTCCACTGTAACCCCCAGGTCCTTTTCTTCAGAGCTAATGCTTAGCCAGTCAGCCCCCAGTCTGTCCTGGTGCATGGTATCATTCTGTCCTTAGCACTTGTCCTTATTGAACTTCATGATATGGGTGACTGGTGTCTCCTGAGTCAGGGGGGCATGTGACACTCAGCGGCCAGTCAGTAACTGGGGGGGGGGGCCCCCATAGCTGATCTTGCCAACCGGGGGGGAGGGGGCAGTCCCCCCATGGCCTATTGCACCAACCCAGAAGTGCCAGCGGCGCTTCTCCTGGTGCCCCCACTCCCTGGCCACTCTTCAAAGGGGGGGCATTGGCGCTCCCACCTACCCCCCCTGTGTGCACGTGCACCCCCATGCATCCCCTACATGTTGCCACTGCTTCATGAGGTTTCTTTTGGTCCAATCCTCCAATTTGTTTAGGTCTCTCTGGATCCTGGCTGTACCCTAGCCCTATATTTACACCAGCTCAAAGCAGGTGTGCAACTCACATTCTGATCTAGTCATGTTCCATGCGGGAGTCTGACTCTCCCTTGCCCTGGACAATCCTTTGCATAGGAAAGA